TGCAGGGTGCAACGCGCAGGATGTTTCGGGTTGGGCTGCAATAGGGGCAGGCTGTGAGGGGCCGCAAGCTGCAGTCCGGGAGGGTTTGTGGGGCTGCGGGAGCGGTCCGGGGGTCGCTGGGGGGAAGATGGGGGAGGGGGGGTCCGGGGGTCGCGGGGAGGGCGCAGGGACCCCGCAGCCCCCCCCGGCCCCGCGCATGCGCCGCGCACTCACCGCGCCGGGGGCTCCGCCGTGCGGGGCCGGCCCGCCCACCCCCCTCGCCTCCCATTGGCCGCGCCTCGGCTGCTCCTCCATTCCCATTGGCTGATCCGGCTGTCACTCACGCAGGGCGCGGCTTGGCTTTAAAGGGGCCGCGCGGAGCGCGTGGCGTCGCACGAATTAGTTGGGCGGTGCTAATTGCACACTGGTCGTCGCATGGTGCCCACTGCACTCCGTGATACCCATTACCCATGCTAATTAACTGCGCCGTGCTGGTTGCCCGGTGGTTTCAGCCTCCCTGATTCCAGTGGGATGGCAGGGGACGAGGGGAGATGTCCCAAAGTGACCCTGATGGGATGGGGCGGGGGGATGCTGGTGGTGCCACTGGAACATCCCTGACCCCGATGGGATGGAGGGGGATGAAAGGGAGACCCCGAGACAGATACTGGTGGTGCCATAGGGTCACCCCTGACCCTGATGGGATGGTGGAAGACACCAGGGCAGGTGCTGGTGATGCCACGGGATCATCCCTGACCCCAATAGGATGGAGGGTGGATGCTGGTAGTGCCACTGGATTGCCCCTGACTGTGATGGAACGGATGGGGGATGACAGGAGACCACAAGGCAGCGCTGGTGGTAGCCCCAAAGCACCCCTGACCCCAATGGGAAGGAGGGGGAATGAAGGCAGACCCCGAGGCAGCACTGGTGGCGCCGGTGCCCCCGGCACACTGTGGACATTTTATTCCTCCAGCCCCGAGCCTTCCCGGGAGATCCTGGAGCGAAGCCCCGAGTGGGAGGCGCCCGCTCCCACCTCCCTGGGGCTCCAGGCCCACGTCCAGCCCCCATCCCAGACTCGTCAGGGCGTCCTTCCAGCGTTCCACGGGCTCACTTGCAGCCCCGCAGGACCCCCAGCGCCTCCCGCACGGCCGAGAAGATCATCCCATCCAGCTGCAGGGGGTGCAAAGAGGGGGGGTCAGCACAGCTCACCCCACACCAGGACACCCCCCCACACACACACACACCCAGACCACCCACCTGGGCTGGGAGCTGGCGCGTGGCCCCGGTGGGATCGGGATCGGGGCTGAGCTGCCGGAGGCGGGCGCAGCTCTCCGGGGACAGGAACCGCTGCTCCACGCTGATGGTGCCCGTGAGGCTCTGCACCTGCACCAAGTGGGGGGTCATTGCCTCGGTTCCCACACTGGGAGGGGGTTGTGTGGCACAGCTGCCTCCCCTGGTGGGTTCGGGGCTGCCTACCTGGTGGGGAGCCCCCGCGGGGACCAGCACGGCGTCCCCCAGGCACTGCAGGAGGGTCCAGCCGCTCACCCCGCACTCCTCCCGCAGCCGCCTCCGCATCCCTGCGTCCAGGTAACGCCCGGGGGGGTCCAGGGAGCACCCAGGGGGCTCCCCCGTTCTCCCCTCCTCCTGCCCCAGCTCCTCGGATACCTGTGGGGTGCCAGGGGTGAACAGAGACAAGGGATGCTCCAGTGGCACCGCAAGCACCCATCTGGATTGTCCCCCTTCATCCCACCATGGTCAGGGATGATCCAAAGGCACCACGTGGGCGGCATGGGAGGGGGTGCCCTGGTCCCCCCCGGGACTCACCCTGCGCAGGAAATCCCGGATCTGCAAGGCATCCTCCGCACGGAAGATGTGCCACAGTGCCCCGGGCCGGGCCCCCGTCGTGTCCTTGAGCCGCTCCCGCAGCGCCACGTCCATGTCACCCACGTCGCCGGGCAGGAGCGCCTCTGCGGGTAGGGGGAGGGGCGATCAGGGGGGAGGCCGGGCATGGGGGGTGGTGTGAGGGGACTCCCAGTGCTCCCCCCCCGTACCCCGCGGTGCCGCCTCCGTGTGAACCAGCACGTTGATGGAATCGGCCGCTTCCACCGCCAGGTTTTTGGTCCCGACGTTCTGGTCCCGCGGGCGCACGCCTGGAAGTGGGAGTGGGGCGCTAGGTGAGTGTTGAGTGTCCCCGTGGCAGGGGGGGAGCCCAGGTGCCCCCCAGAGCCCCCATAGCAGACTCACCGTAGGCTGCACAGACGCGCGGGCGCAGCCAGTGCCGGCCCCGCTGGCCCCGCAGGTGGGTGGCCAGGTTGAGGCGACCACTGGCCCCGCAGTACTCGGGCAGGGGCAGGCTGGCACGCAGGTTGGTGACCCTGTGGCATGGCAGGGGGGGGTGTTTGCAGGGCACCGAGGTACAGGCAAGGGCAGAGCCGCCCTCAGCCCCCAGCACTGGCGTGGGGAGGTCAGGGAGGGGGGGACACCCACCCTCTGCCACCACCTACCGGCTCAGCTCCATGTCCCCAAGGCCACTCTCCAGCTTCAGCAAGTCCCCACCGCCATGTTCCCGCTCTGGGGATGCTGCGGGAGGGAGCCCAGCATCATGCACGGGGATGGATGGAGGGAGGAGGGCACAGCCTGGCTCCCCCTCACACCTCACCCCAAAATCAGCCCTCCAAACTCATCGCCCCGCTCACCTGCACTGGTGGCAAAGCCATCCCAGAACTGCCAGCTGCTCAGGCGGACGCGGCTCGCCGGTGCCCGCAGGTTCACCGCCTCCACCTCCTGCTCCCCCCGGGCTGGGCGGAACGACTCCGGCCCCCAGAGCCGCCCCTCCAGCCTCTTCTGCAGCCCTGAAACCAGCACGGGCTGCCGGGGCAACCGGGGATCAGCGAGGCTGGGGGGGGGGGTCCCAGGTGTCCCCACACCTCCCCCCCAAGGGATGGGGGGCTCACCTGGCCCTGCCGCCAGTGCTCCTGGAAGAGTTTGTAGTTGCTGGCGTGGCCGGGGTCGTGGAGCCAGAGCAGCCCGCTGGGCTCCAGCACGCAGTGGGATGCGGGGGGCTCAGAGGGGCTGGGGGGGCTCAGCTCTCCCCCCCCCGCCTGCCTCTCCTGGATCTTCCTCTCCACCACGCGGGCGATGATGCTGTCCAGGATGCTGGTCAGGCGGTTGTCCTGGAGAGCAGGACAATGGGGACACCCTCAGCCCACCCTGACCCCCCCACACACACAGCACGGGAAGGGGTGCCCTGGTCGCCCCCGGGGACTCACACTGGGCAGCGTGGGCACCACGGGGGCGAAGGCCATGCGCACCCCGTCCTGCCCCAGGCACAGCTTCACGGCGGTGGAGGCCAGCAGGTCGCACAGCGTGGTGGTCTGCACGGCCCCCCGTGCCGGGGGCTGCCCCGGCGACGGCGGCCCCAGCTCGGGGCTCTCTGCTCGGGGAGGGGAGGGAGAGAACACGGTCAGGGTTGCCCACGCCGCCCTCTGCATCTCACCCCCCTTGCCCAGCACCCCGAGAAGGGGAGGGGGTGCAGCATCCCTGACCCCCCCGGGGCGGGGGGGTCGCAGCCGGCCCTACCTTCCTTGATGGGCCGGGAGGGGTCGGCTTGGCCGCGGCTGGGGGGTGGCAGGGTGGGCACCGCGGCCCCTGGCGGCTCCTGAAACACCCATGTGGACATTGGGGGGGGCCACATCCCACACACCCCCCCACAGACACTCTGTGCAGGGGTTGGGGTGCACCTGCACCCCATTATCCCCCCCCCCATCCACAACCCCCCCCTCCATACCTGCCTGCCCGGGGGCTCGGCCGGGCTCTGCTCCGCAGCCCCTCGCCCGCAGGGACAGCGGGACTCGATGCCAAACTTGGCCCTGACCTCGTGCAGAAGCTTCCAGAGCCTGGTCAGGACTGGGGACAACAGGGACAAGGGTGTCAGCCCCCCAGCAGCGGGCAGGGGGGGGGTTCCCAGGGCTGGGGAACTCACTCACCACAGGTGGGCACGAACTGCGTGGGGACCAGGGCTGTGACGGGGTGGTCTCGCCCTGGGGTGCACTCAGGCGGCTGTGCTGGACCCTCTGTGTCAGAGACAGGGTGTGTTCGTCCCCACCGAGCCCCCACCCCAAGGGCTGACACCCCCTTTTCATCGCTCCCCCCAACCCCTTTCCACATACCGGGGCCATCAGCCTCCCTCCTGCTGCGGTGGCAGTCGGGGCACAGCTGGAAGCCACATCTGGCGCAGCTCCAGTGGGAGTTGAAGAAGCCGCGCTGGCAGGAGTCGCAGAGCTGGGGGGCTCCTTCCCCCCTCCTCCAGGCCGTGCCCCCTGTGTGTAGCACAGCCTCAGCCTCCCCAGTGTGCCCAGTGTCCCCCAGTGTGCCCCCCATCCCGGTCCCCCCTTACCCTCGGGCCCGCCGGGGGCTCCCGGCCACATGTCCCTGTCCCTGCGGACGGCGTCGCAGAAGGGGTCCCCCAGGACCCCCAGCAGGTACTTGGCCAGGCAGAGGCTGCTCCCCACGTTCCTGCCCCCTGGCTCGGGACCAGATTCCTCCAGCAGCTCCCCCTCGGCCTCCCCCAGGGTGCAGAGGCCATCAACGCTCAACTCCCCATTGTCCCCCAGGGCAAACCTGCGCAGAGAGAAAGGGGGGGGCAGGAGAGGGGCTCAGAAAGGGGGTGATGAGACAGGGAGGCTGAAAATCGGGGTGATGGGAGAGGGTCCTCAAAGGTGGGAGGGGATTCTCTGAAGTGGGGTGATGGGAGAGGTCGGTTTGAAGAGGTGAGAGGGGATGGTGTGAAGAGGGGATGCTCCGAAATAGGGTGATGGGAGAGAGTGTTCTGAAGTGGGGTGATGGGACAGGATGCTCTCAGTTGATGGGAATGATGGGGAGAGTGCCCTAAAGTGGGGTGGCAGGAGAGGTGGCTGCAAAGAGGGGTGAAAGGAGGGGATGCTCCAAGGAGGAGACGTTAAAAAGTGGTGTGGCAGGAGGGGATGCCCCAAAGTGGGATGATGGGAGGGAACACTCCACCCTGTAAGCTCCCCAGGAGCCCTGGGCTCACCTGCGGAAGTGCAGCAGCCTGCAGGTGCTCTCGGGGGGCTCCTCCTCCTCCTCCTTGCCCTGGGGGTCCCCCGTGGCCCGGGGGGCACAGGCACAGCAGCGGGGGATGCCCTGGGGCAGCGCAGTGCAGGGCAGGCTCTGCAGGCACCACGGCTCCTGCCGGCTCGATGGCTCTGGGGACACGGGGAGTGCTTGGGGACACCGTGGAGCCCCATCCACACCAGCCAGGAGGGGCTGCGACTGTTCACAGCCAGGTTGGAGGGGGCTGGGGACACCCTGCTCTGCTGGAAGGTGTCCCTGCCCTCGGCAAGGGGTTGGAACAAGGTGGTCTTTAAGGTCCCTTCCAACCCAAACCCCTCCAGGACTGTGGGATTCTGTGACTGGCACGCTGTGGCGGGGGCTGGAAACTGGGCCAGAAAGTAGGGCTGGAAAGTAGGGCTGGAGCTCTGCAGAGGTCAGGGCTGAGATGCCAACACCTCCCCGGGGAGTCGCTGACCCAGTGACGGCACTTCCACGCCCCGGGCATCCCACCCGAGGGTGCCACGCTGCCCCACAGGAGCATTTCCATCCATTCCTGCCCTGGGAATCGCTGCCAGACTCGAGTCATGCCAGGGAAAACCCCAGAGCAGCAGCTTTCCCAGCCCTCACGTGTGCCCAACTCGTGCTGTGGGCGCCGGGACAGGGGATGCA